AAAAAAAAAAAAGAAAGAAACTGTGGGGTGTATGGGAATTCTGCATTACTTTCACAATAATTCTATAAATATAAAAGTTATAAAATTAAAAGTTTATATAAAAACAGGCTCAGCACACATAGCACAGTGGTTATAGTGCCAGCCACATACACCCAGGCTGGCAGGTTTGAACCTGGGCCAGGCCACCTGAACAACAATGGCAACTGTAACAAAAAATAGCCAGGTGTTGTGGCAGGTGCCTGTGGTCCCAGCTACTTGGGAGGCTAAGGCAAGAGAATCATTTAAGCCCAAGCGTATGAGATTGCTGTGAGCTGATGCCACAGCACTCTACCCAGGGCAACATAGTGAGACTCTGTCTCAAAAATAACAAAAAAAAGTTTATATAAAAATAATGGCCCAGTATTGGCTGTGATGGTTCACTCCTATAATCTCAGCATTTTGGGAGGCTAAGGTGGGGGGATATCTTGAGCCCAGAAGTTTGAGGCCAGCCTGGACAACATGGCAAGATCCTCTTTCTACAAAAAAAAAATAAAAATTAGCTAGATGTGGTGGTGTGCACCTGTAGTCTCAGCTGCTCAGGAGGGTGAGGTAGATGGATTGCTGTAGCCCAGGAGTTGGAGGTTACAGTGAGCTATGATCTGGCCACTGCACAGAGTGATACCCTACCTCAAACAAAACAAAACAAAAACTCGACAATGGCCTAAATGTCAGACAGCTGTTGTGGATCAAGGTCATATTTCCCAAGGGAAAGTTCTCTTTCAGGGAGAGGGTATGGTGAGTCTAAAACTCCCTCCCAAAAGGTTCAGAAAAAGATACTGGCAGGGGCTCTCTGCTCTCTGACCTACAAGGATGAGATGATCCTCAGCAAACCAGGAAGCAGGTAGGCACCAAATCTGCAGAAACCTTCATTTTGCACTCCCAGCCTCCAGAACTTTAAGAAATAAATTTCTGCTATCTAAGCCAAAAAAAAAAAAAAAAGATTGGCAGGGGGAGGTGGCTCATGCCTGAAATTCTAGCACTCTGGGAGACAGGCAGGATTGCTTGAGCTCAGGAATTGGAGACCAGCTTGAGCAAGAGCAAGATAACATCTCTACTAAACATAGAAAAATTAGCCGGGTTTTATGATGGGCACCTGCAGTCCCAGGTACTTGGGAGGCTGATGCAGGAAGATGGCTTGAACCCAAGAATTTGAGGTTGTTGTGAGCTAGGCTGGGCAACAGAGTGAGACTGTCTCAGAAGACAAAAAAAGAAAGAAAGAAGAGAAAACAGAACAGACATCAAGAAGCAAGCAAACATGCAAAAAGAGATGGCTTCACAGGCATCTCCTTAAACAAAAGAACCCTTCCCCTGAAGGTCAGTTTTCAAAACAACATTTGGGGGAAATATAAATTATCACAAATGGAAATGAGTCAGATAATACTGTAATAAGCCATAAGTGAAGCTAAATGTGTTTCTGTGACTGAGAGCCAGGATTTGCCAACATTGGTCTTGTTCATCCCTCCTGCTGACCCACCTTTCACATGGGGAAACTGAGGCATAGATAGGGTAAATGATGTTATGGGCTACATTAGGTCTTCCAAAAAAGATTCCTTGAATTCCTAACCCTCTGTCCACTTCAGAATGTGCAATTATTTGGAAATAAGGTCTTTGCAAAAGTCATCAAGTTAAAATGAGGAGATTAGAATGGGCTCTCATCCAGCATGACTGGAACCTTATAAAAAGGGATTTGGGTACAGAGACAGATGCACCCAGGGAGAAGATGATGTGAAGACAGGCACAGGGAGGAAGGCCACACAAACACAGAGGCAGAGGCTGAACCATGTGGCTACAAGCCAAGGGACACCAGGGACCCCCAGAGCAGTTGGAGAGAGTGCAGCCCTGTACACACCTGGATTTCAGATTTCTAGCCTTCAGGACTGTGAGAGCCTGTTTTAACTCCCCAGTTTGTAGTGCTTTGTTACAGCAGCCCCAGGACACTCATTCCAGGCCCCACAGCAGGCAAGCAGCACAGCCAAAGTTTAAACCCAGACACTTGAGAGGGGCCCAGCAAACAGGGGGCACACACCTATAGCCCTCAGTGACAAGGACCTACTGTGCCCCCAGCCCTACCCCAAAGAAAAACCCACATAGCCCAAGGCCAGAGCACCAGAAATTTATTGAACATTCCATGTTCTCCCAAAGGATAGCTACCCACACATGAGGTGGGGGAGAATTCCCCCAGACCAAGGAACCACCAAGGGAGCAGCCCAAGCCATGAGGCTAGCGCCAGGCTGGGGGTGCAGAGGGGATACAGAATGTGTGGGGTTGTCTGAAGGCAGAGGCTTCTGGCTGGAAGTCCTGGACCCCCAGAAAACAGGGAGAAGGGAGAAAAGTACGAAAGACATGGAGATCAGGCAGGACCCCCAGAGCTGCCAAAGGCAGGGGGTGAGGAAAGACAACAGAACAAAGAGAGGGTAAAACCAGCCCTTAAGACGCAGCTTCCATCCTGGGTTACAAGGTACTGTGCGCACACATACATACAGAGACACACACACACAAAGACAAAATGCCTTTGGGGTGAATGGTAGGGTCCCAGAGACACCCCACCACCACCACCATTCAATCTAAAAACTGGTAGGGGTGGAACAAGGGCTGGAACCAAGTCCCACAAATTACCAGATGGGGAAAGTTTTTGGTTTTTCTCTCCAAAAGAGAAATTTAAAAATCTACAACAAATCACACCAAATTCATTAAAAGTGATTTTAAAAAACCCAGCCTCTCCCTCCTCACTTGAGCTTCAGACTGGGCAAAAAAAGTTAAAGAAAAAAACACCAAAGTGCCAAGGTCAGGTCTCCCTACCCAAATAGAAGTCCCAGAGCAGGGTGCTAATGGCTAAGATGGTCTTGGTAGTCCCAGCCACCAGCACTGTTTATGGCAGAGAGCTGGGTGAGGAGGGAGCAAAGGTAAGCGAGACCACCCCAAGGGAAAGAGCAAGTTTCCAAGGAAGAATTCTAAAAATATTGAAGATAATTTAGCAGAAGATATCAGAAGTCTGGGAGCCATATGGGGCACCAGGTAGGGGCATGGATGCCATCAGCTGTGCTGCTCCAGGTAGGCAGAGAGGAGGAGCCCTGGCGGCCAAAAGTCCAGGTGGCGATTACTGACTTTCATCTGCCGCCTGCCCTCCAAGTCTGCACCTGTAGGAGGAGATGAGCAGGGCAAGAATTAAAGGAATTGAAGAGTCATGCTACACAGAACTGTGAGGACCCAGAGTGGCCAGAGGGCAATGCCCTTTGTCCTTTCCTTCCCTTCTAGAGGTTACTGCAAGATGGTCATTATGACATGGCTGACTCCAGCTTCCTAGGACCCAGGGCCTGACTCACAAAAACAACTAATGCTTCCTGAGTGCTTTCAATCTGTGGTGCTTGGCACTCTCTGCTGCTACTTATCCCATTGTACAGATGGAGACCTCAAGACACCCATACTCAATCAAGGTCAAGTGGGCACTCACACACATACCTGACCAAGTGTCCAGCCTCTAACCCTGACCTGCAGAAGTGATCTTGAGGATCAAGACCCTGGGTAATCCAGCCCCCATTAACCTCCCCTCCCCCCACTTTCTATTCTCCCTTACTCCAAAACCTGGGCTAGCCATACCCAACACAAACTCAGTCTCACCTCTGGGCCTCTGCCTCAGGGAACCCCCTTCCTTATTCCCTGATCTTGTTAAGACTCCTTTCTTCTGTGTCTAGAGTTAGACCATAGCCCTGTCCCCACAGAGAAGCCTCCCACTGGCAGCCAAAGCCCTCCATTCTAAGTCTGTAAGAACAAAGGCAGGTGGGTGAGGAAGAACCATTGGGGTTGCCAGGGAAACCATCTCCTCAGCAACTCCAGGCAGAAGGCAGAGAGACAGGCTCAGGAAGCTAGGACAAGATGGGGTGGCCGGTGCCAGCAAAGGGCTACAAGGACCCTCACTAGGGAGCTTTGTCCTAAGGCCACACTTTGTTGTAAAAGTAGGGATATAAGCCCCAGAAGGGGGTCTGGGCCTGAAGTCCCATATATGGCATTGGAGGGGCTATGACTAAATATGAACTTCTAGTCACTGAGTCTCCTCATCCCATCTCTGAATCTGTGAGGTCGCTCAAAGCCTGGCTTTACCACCCCTACACCTAGGTGCCCACCCTCTCTCCAGACCTGGAGATGTAGATCAAGTGGTATCTATTTCCAGTTGTCCAGCTGTGTCCCCAGTGTCACCCAGCACAGGGCTGGACAAGTAGGAGCTCCTGATGCAGAGTCTCACTGCCATGTCTCTGTCCACACTGTCTATACTCCCAGAACTCTCCCCACTTCCCCAGAAGTCTCCCACTAATGAACCAGACACGTGGAACCCTGGTCTCATTCCCCAGGTTGAACTGGCAACTGGGGTCTTAAGGCCACCACCATACACTTACTGGCTGAGATGAGGTCCATGTACTGGCAGACAGCATGGAGCAGGAGCCTCTCAAAGCTGTGGAAAAGTGGGAGTTGAGTGGCTGTGCTCCAGGCCAGCCCTGGTGTTGGGGTGAAGGCTCACTGCTCCTCCCCATCCACTCACCTGTTGTCCAGCATGGCCGTGTACACGGCCTGGGGGGACACAGAGAAGAACCTCAGCAGCCGCTCCTCCCAGGTCTCTAGCATTTCCTGTGGGAGAGCCAGGCCCAATGGTTGGGTAACTACAGGACCCCCACCAGGCTGGCCAAGGCCCTGTAAGCCTAAGGCCCTGGGTTCCACTGTCACCTCTGACTGACTGAATGAGGCTACTGCAATATGGACACCAGGCACTTAGACATTGTCATACCATCTCCATGCCTGCCTCTTCTGCCTAGGGTATTCCTATATACCCTGCAGTGCCCCTCTTCATTGCCCTTGTCTCTCCTACTCAAAGGAGAGCCTTTGTCCAGCCCTGGATCCTGCACTCTAATCACATTGGTCTACATCTTGCTCCGATTCATGTGACATGACCCATACCAGGTAACCAGTTTTTCCTCACCCTGTCCCCAGATGAGAACCTATAACATGGAAAAGGGCCATTGAAAAAGACCAGGTAGGTAGGAAGAAGAGGCCAGGCCCGGCACTCACCATGGGGATGCGGCTCCGCTTGAGGACGGCTCTTAGCCGCCGACTAATGCGCTGGAAACATTCACGGGGTGTGTAGGCCGGGTCCTCTGCAAGAGCCCAGTGTGGAGCAGCTGTGGTAGGAACCCCCAGTCCATGCCCACCTACCCAAACATACCCACATCATACCCTGGCCCCCCACCCACACTAGGACCCCCCATCCTAATCTAACAGTCCCGCCTATCACACAGCCCCATCTACCATAGCCAGCTGCTCCCCCCATGACAGGACCCTACCTGCTGCCCCACTGGCTCCATCTATACCAGGCCCTGCCCAACCAGACTGCTAACCCACCCTTATCCCTGCCCTAGCCCCATCCACTCCACCAAAACCACCTATCACAGCCAGCCCGCACCTCTCCTCCGATCCTCCCCCCGGGCAGGACCCCTCCGCCGAGGCTTGCCCTTGCCCTCATCCTCCAGGTAGCGGAGAACCCGTTCTTGCTCTTCCCCAGAACGGTTCATAAAGTCATTCCAGACCTGGAAAAGAAGGAGGCAGGCTCGGTCTTGGGCTGATGTCTGCACGTCCCTGGGCCTCAGTTTCCCCATTTGGCAAATGGACACAAAAGGCCACCAGGTACCCGGAGGCACTCCTTGTGGACACCACGGCCCACTGACGGGACATCCACTGTACACTGGGCCCCATCTGGGTGCCAGGGGCAGGGAGGAAGTCGGCAACCATGATAGACTCAGCTGGGGTGGGGAATGGATACAGGTCACATACTCTCCCAATGAGTCACTGATTCCCAAGTGTGATGAATATGATGAGCTCTGGAAGGTTCCAGGGGTGGGGAGGGGGCTCTAGCCTAGTCTAGGGACTCCAAGAGGGCCTTAGAGATCGTAATTGGTAGAGTGCTCCTGGCAGAAGAATTAGCATAGCCAAGGGCCTGGTGGTTCAACCACACACAGGCACCAGAATCTGTGAAGACACAGGTATCCTGGTGGAGGGAAGAGGGGGTCTGGGGGGTCTTACCTCCACATAGGTTGCATTGTTACAGGCCTCCGCGAAAATGCCTGGTGCTGCAGGAGGTGCCAGGTCCCCATCTTCCAGGCTAGGTGGGCCTCCTTCTGTCTCCAACAGGGTCAAGAGGTACTGTGCTAGAGGGAAACAAATGTCCTCTGTGCTAGGGTGGCTCTCAGGGGCCCCTAGGCTCCACAGGAACCCAAGGACCATCCTTCCTCTCTTCCTACCTTCACACCTCCCCACCTCCATACTCCAACTGTCCTTCCTATAAGGATAGAAACCAGCCAGCCTCCAGAATTCCACAGACTTCTCCCTGGCTTGTCAAACTTCTACATATCCTTTAAAGCCCCAGCTCCAAAGCCCAGGGGTTGCTCTGGCCCAGCCCTAATCCAAGAGTCTGGGGGATGTCTATATCTGGCTCTGTTACCTGCCTCCTGGCCCAGAGCTGATACCCAGCACTGCCCAGCTCTATGGTTCATGATAAGGGCAACAAATATCACCAACATGCACACCATTCTTGTCTGAGGCCTAGGAGCCCAAGAGGTGCCTCCCGACCCCTGCTCACTGTTCTCCAGGCGCTGGAGGCTCTTCCGTCCCTTGGCCTTGGGCACGAGGTCTGAGTTCCTCACAGCCTGGTTGATGAAGTGTTGCTTCCGCTTGGAAGCTGAGAGTCTCTTCACCTGGGAGCCGGCTAGAGTGGGCAGGCAGCCCGGAAGAGGCCTGTGGGCCAGGGTGGGGGGCAGTCCTTAAGGCTAGGTAGAACCCTACCAGAGCCATTGCCTACTTGGTTTCCTCTAGCAATGGGAAGCTCACCCCCTTTCAGCGATGGAGTCTTAGACCCTTAGAATAGTACTTTGTCTCATCCTCACATAACCTAGAAGGCAGGTACTATTGTGATGACACATTAGTAAATTAAGGCTCAAAGAAGGGAAGATACTTGCCCAAAGTCACACAGCAGGTAGATGGCCAAGAAAAGCTGCTGCCCGCCCCCAACCTCAAGCCTTCAAGATTTTACCTGCAAGTCAGTGAGGCCTCAAACCTCTGAGACTTGAATATAAGTTCTCCTCGAAGTGGACAATTAAGAAAGGTGGGAGTATAAATGGCATGTCCAGAGGAGCAGCCAGGAGGGCTCTGGTTTTTGATCAGGCATGATGGCTCACATCTGTAGCACTCTGGGAAGCTGAGGTGGGCAGATTGCTTGAGCTCAGGTATTCCAGACCAGTCTGAGCAAGAGTGAGACTCCCATCTCTACTAAAAATAGAAAAAAACTAGCCAGGCGTGGGGTGTATGCCTGCAGTCACAGATACTTGGGAGGCTGAGGTAAGAAAAAAATGCTCGAGGCCAGGAGTTTCGGGTTGCTGTGAGCTATGATGATGCCACGGCACTCTACCCAGAACAACAAAGTGAGACTTTGTGTTAAGGAGGAACAGAAGGAAGGAGGGAAAGAAAGAAGGAAAGAAAGAAAGGAAGGAAAAGAAGGAAAGGGGGAAGGGAGGGAGGGAGGGAAAAGAAAGAAACCTGGTTATATCTAGCACCCTCAATCCTAGCAGCAGATAAACCAGGAAACAACCCCCAGAAACACAAGACTATGCCCAAACCCACCTGCCTTATGCCCCCAAGTACTGTCCCTCAATATACCCCAGGAACCAGGACCAGAGAAGGGGCTAGAGTGGCTCCCTAGAGCTAATCTGCTCTGCTCCAAGCAAATGGCTTTAATTGTGAAGATGGATTAGCTGGCAGGGCCAGACCTCCTGCAGGGCCCCAAGGGTCAAGTCACTTAGTAAAAGGGGACAGACAGGTATGGTGGGCACTGTAAGCAAGCAGGAAGGGAGGTAGGGGGACCTCTTGGATGGAAACTTTCCAGCAAGAAGAAATTGTACAGCCTGGTCCGCCCTTACCATATGTTGCAGAGCTCCCCCAGGCTCAGAAGTATGGGATACCAGGATTCTTCTGCCCCCATCTCCCAACTACCCAACACCTGCTCTGCTACAGAGGGCCTTCCTGGCTGCCAATCTGGGCATGCAATTTACACCCCTACCTCCAGGTCTTTGCATCAGTGATGCATACTACCTGGAGCACCCTCCCTGGGCTCTCGATGGCTCATCTCCTTTTGGCTTTTGTCCTTGAAACACCCGACCTCCCTCTACTTATTAGCTAACTCTTTTTCCATCCTCACTCCCTGCTTGTTTGGACTTCCCACTGTATCCCCAGCAGGCACAGCCATGTCTGGCACACAATTGGTGCTCAAAAAGATAAGTACTGGCCAGGCACTCATGCCTGTAATCTTAGCACTCTGGGAGATGGAAAAAGGAAGACCACTTGAGGCCAGGAGTTCAAGCCCAGCCTGGGCAACATAGTGAGACCCCCATCTCTAAAAAACAAACAAATAAAATTAGCTGGGCATGGTGATATGCACCTGTATTCTTAGCTATTCAGAAGGCTGAGGCAGGAGGATTGCTTGAGCCCAGGAGTTGAAGGTTACAGTGAGTTATGAAGATGCCACTGCATTCTAGCCTGGGTGACAAAGTAAGAAAGGCTTTGTCTCAAAAAATAAAATAACAACAACAACAAAAACCCAAATCACAAAAAAACAAGCAAACAAAAAACCCACTAAATTAATTCTCAATGAAATCCCATGATTCTAAGACTAATTCCCAAATCCAAATTCCCACCTAAACTTCCCAAGTTCCCAAGACACAAATTAAAACCAAATGCACACATCCAAACCCCTCCCCCAAAAGACTAGAAAGGGCCTTAAAATCCTAGGACAGTCAAAGCAAGATGCCATTGAGATCAGGAGTAAGGGCACCAGCCCCACATAGCCGGAATCACAGGCTCAAGCCTGTCCCTGGCCAAAACTGCAAAAAAAAAAAAGATCAGGAGTGAGGCCTTGTATACTCAAAGAATCAAGCTGAGCAGTGTCTGTGGCTCAAAGGAGTAGGGCCCCAGCCCCATATGCTGGAGGTGGTGGGTTCAAAGCCAGCCCTGGCCAAAAAACTGTAAAAACAAGAATCAAGTTCTAAGTTTGTACACTTTATAGAACATCTTGGTCAATAAATAAACAGGGCTGGGTATGGAAGATCATGCCTGTAACCCTAACAGTTCAGTCACTGAGGCAGGAAGATCCCCTGAAGCAATGAATTTGAGACTAGCCTAAGTAAAACTGAGACCCCATCTCTACAAAAAAAATAGAAAAGTTAGCCAATTGTGGTGGCAGGTACTATAGTTCCAGGTACTCAGGAAGCTGAGGTAGGAGGATCACTCAAGCCCAGGAGTTTGAGGTTGCAGTGAACTATGATAATGCTATGGCACTCAGCCTGGGTGACAGAGCAAGACTTCATCTTAAAAAAAAAAAAAAAAAAGACAGCACCTGTGGCTCAGTGGGTGGGGTGCCGGGCCCCATATACCAAGGGTGGCGGGCAACAAAGAGGAGCCCAGCGTTGTGGTGGGTGCCTATGGTCCCAGCTACTCCGAAGGCTGAGGCAAGAGAATTGCCTAGGCCCAGGAGCTGGAGGTTGCTGTGAGCTGTGACACCACAGCCCTCTACCGAGGGCAACAAAGTGAGACTCTGTCTCTAAAAAAAAAAAAGTCTTAGCCAGTTGGATGAGAGTTTTCCAAACTGCATATGGAAGCAACACACTGTATCCTATGATAGAATTAATGTACACAATTATGATCTAATAAAAAATAAATTTTAATTTTAAAAAATAAATAAATAAATAAATAAGGGTGGCGCCTGTGGCTCAGTGAGTAGGGCACCGGCCCCATATACTGAGGGTGGTAGGTTCAAACCTGGCCCCGGGCAAACTGCAACAAAAAAATAGTTGGGTGTTGTGGTGGGCACCTGTAGTCCCAGCTACTTGGGAGGCTAAGGCAAGAGAATCACCTAAGCCCAAGAGCTGGAGGTTGCTGTGAGCTGTGATGCCATGGCACTCTACCGAGGGTAAGAAAGTGAAACTCTGTTTCTAACAAAAAAAAAGGGAAATCAGGCTGAGCAGATTTAGGGCCATCTGAAATTGGAGTGGGACAAGCAGTTTAATGGCACAACCTTCCATGGATAGCACTTTAGGCAAAAATCTATGACAAGTTATCTGACCAATAAACTCACAAGAGCCCAAGTTGCCATTAACAGAAGACTCACAGGCAGAGCAACAGGCACTCAGAATTCTCTGGCTAAGGCATGCCAAGAAACTCAGAGGCTGACTTGTCATCAGGCTGTAGGCCTTGGAATCTCAGCCTTGAGTCTGAACTCCAGCTATAGCAAACACTTCATTCAGTGATCTGCAGCCCATTCTGTGCAAAGTGGAGATAAGAATCGTCTCTGCAGGTGCCTGTGTGTCTGGGAGAGGCACTCAGATATCCTCCCTTCACCTTAGCTACCAGCTAGTTGGCTTCCTCCTGTGATGGGGTACTCACTTACCCCCTCAACCATGCCACACCATTCTCACTGTCGGCAATGTCCCTGGATTGAATATTTCCTCCAGGTTGGGCTCATTTCCTGTCACCTGCACCATAACTGCAGCAGGCAAGTACTAGTATTTTGACACCCACTATTAAGTCACAGCTCAATTTCCCACAGCTGCAAAGAGGGCTGATGGAAAAGTACATGGCAAGTCAAGCACTCAGTGTGGCAACCAATGACCACTCAAGGGATGCTCATGTTTACATTACACCAATGTCTTTCAGACCGGAGCACCCCTGTCCATGCCCCAGATTCACTCACAGCCTCCCTGGGGCCTCAGGGCCTGTATCTCCACCCAAGCAGCTGGACAAGCCTGATAACAGAAGCCACATCCAAGGAGAGCCCTCGAAGATGTCTGAGCAGAGCAGGGCTCAGGAATACAGATCACAACTGATGCCCAGCACTATTCCCATTCTATAGATGAGGGATCAGAGGCTCTGATAGGTAGGGCTGTACCCAGCCACCACAAAGGCAAGGGGTGCTGTTGGAGTGAACCTGGGTCTGACCTTCACCAACTGAGCCATCCAGACTCCCTCTCAGTTCCAGACCACAGTCTCTCAGCCTTTTCCTTCAGGCTCAAAGACCTGCCTATTTCTTTCCCTGTCTCAGCCCTAGCCAGGGTTCCCCAGCACCCTCAGGGCAAGGCCTAGCTCCTCGTTGGCTTATCATTGGACCTCACAGGCAGGCCTATGTCTCCTTTCACCCTCCCATGGGCCCTAAGTACTAAGCTGAGCACTAGAAAGTGAGTAACACCACTTTGGCAAGCAGGCTGAACAAGACACATTTGGCCTCTGGGTGCCTGGAGTTACCAATACGAGGGAAGCAGATCACAGCAAAGTACCCAGGCTCACGAAAAACACAGGGACCTCCTTGTGGTGTTTCAACCTCAGGGCTTCTGCACACATCATATTCAGCCCTCCTAGAAGCCTTCCTTTGTCTCCACTGTCACTGTCCTAGCCCCCACCTAGTCCAGTCAGCTCATGTCCTTGCTTTACCAGGCAGCTCCTGAAACTAGCTAGCACCTTTACTTGTTTGCCCCTTAATCACTGCCTCACCAGATCCCTGAGGACAGGCTAGGTCTCACTGGTTCCTGCCAAATACTCAGCACCCAACCCACAGCAGCAATCTGTGTTTGTTGAATGAATACCTAAACTTCTGTTTAACACTCGCCCAAAGGTTAGTTCATCTGTTTCTCATACCATCCAACAAGACTACTTTACTAATGGGGAAACTGAGGATCCAGAGAGGTTGTCTTAGGCTTCTTGGAGCTGGCTAGGACCCAGAAGATGTTTACATGGTGGAAGTTACCAGTGCCCACTGAGGGTGGACAGTCCAATTGTGGAAGCTATTAAGTCAAGTTGGGTTTGGGTCAAACAGTCCTCTTATTGCCCCCAATTCTACTTCCCACAGATTTTGAGATGGGACCTTCTGACCCCCACTTCCCCAGGCAAAAATCATAGCTTCCCTGGTCCTGGGCTCCTCCCCAAGGAGCCCATGTACCCAGCAGGAAACCCAGGACTCAAATCCAGGGCAGACTGGGGGCAGCTCCCAGTAGTACCCAACCCCCCACCAGGATGGGGAAAGAAAGAGGCAGCCAGCAGGTAAATAAATACCCCCAAAGTGAAGGCTGTGGAAAGGTCTGGAGGAAGGAGAAAAATTAATTTGGGGTAAGGCTGGGCACAAGGGAAACACCCTATAATTTCAGCACTTTGGGAGGCTGAAGTGGGAGGATCATGTGAGCCCAGGAGCTCAATATCAACCTGGGCAACATAACAACACCCATTTATACAAAAATTAGAAAAATTAACCAGGTGGTATGACACACACCTGTAGTGCCCACTATTTGAGAGGCTGAGGTGGGAGAATCTCTTGAGCTCAGTAGTTAAAGGCTCCAACCTGGGCAACAAAGCAAGACCTCATCTCAAAAAAAAACAAAAGAAAGAAAGAAAAAGAAAAGTCAAGCTGAGAGGCTCGGCGCC